AAAAGTGAAATAATATATATAAAAGTGAAAAATAAAAAGTGAAATTTCTAAAAAGTGAAAAATAAAGTGAAATTTTTGAAAAGTGAAAAATAAAAAGTAAAAAATAAAAAGTGAAATAATAAAAAATGAAATAATGAAAAGTAAAATAATAATAGAGAATTTTATCATTATATAAATATTTTTGGAATTTTTATATTTTTTAATTATTTTTAAATTTGCAATTTTTATGTTACTATTGTAACATTTGTTTCTCCTTCAAAAATTTTGCTTCACAAAATCAATTTTGAACTTGATTTTTATATTTGATAATTTTCTTTTTACTTAATTGATATATCTGAGAAGATATCAATTTCAAGGTAGTTTGTGATAAAAGTTCTTTGATTCCAAATATTTTAAAGGTTTACTTTACAATATGAAATGTTCATTCACAAAATTTATGTTTTTCAATCTTTTGATGAATAGATCTCTTCAATTATTATAAACATTTTCAATATTTTGGTGATTGATTATAAAACATTTCTCCAATTTTGAAATAGTATTCTAATTTCTGTTTTTTATTTTTTTTTTGACAGTATATTTTTCTTAAAGCTTTTTTTAGCTTTGCCTTCCAAATTTCATCAGTTGATTCAAATTGATATTTCTTAAGTTGTTGTTCTTCGACGATTTGTGTTGTTGGTATTAGATTTACAGATTTATAGATTCAGCTAGTTCTGTTATTTCTGTTGTTCCAATAATTGGTCCAAAAGGAATTACGATTTCTTTATAGAGATTTAATTCATCAAAGTCTTTAAGAAATTCTGAACAGTTGAATACTTCTAAAAAAAGCTCCAAAATAACTATATTTTCTAATTCCAATACTAATATCTTTTGGCTCCACATGAAAAACAATCTTTGCTCATGCAAGCATCCAGCTTCAATTCATTTAAACAACCAGTATCCTGACAAAGATCTTGTTAATCTCCAAGGAGATCAAATAATATCTCCAATATATACTTTTCAAGCTAAAAATGACTTATTTATAAATTCTATAAGCTTCACGTAATCACAAACACGTTTGGATGACTAGTCATATTGTGATTCTCTGTCATAGATTTTCTGATGGCTCTTTTCTTTAAACTTTAATTTGTAATCATTACTTTATAAGTTAAATTAGCATAGAATTAGAGTGCAACTACACTGTAGCAAATAGGAATAATAATAATAATAACTATTATAATAATAATAATAATAATTACTAACTCAACATATAGAATAAGATTACACTAAAGCAATAATAACTCAATAACCAGAAACAAAATAATTTCTTGAATACTAAAGAGCATTTAAATAATTAAACACATTTCTAAAAGATAAAGTTGCATCAAAAAGCAAAAAATCTTCAATATACAAAAGAAATTAAAGCAAATAATAATTAATTATGAAGAAAAAATAATCAAATACCAATAAATACAATGCATTATATTGAAAAAGTTGAAAAAGAAAAAGTTATAATTATTATTAATAGTAGAGCAGTGAGCAATATTATTAATAATTTATTGTTAAAAAAAATTAATTAAAAAATATAAAAATCTAGTAATATTGATTTAGTTAATATTGTTATTATTACTTTAAATAAAGAGTTTTTTACTTTTAGTAAAAAGAGTATAAGTTAGAAGAAAGAAATAAATTAATAAATTGATTAATATAAAAATAAATATTTAAGTCTATATCAATTTTAATAGAAGATAAAAAAAGAAATTAGGAGAATATATTCAAAAGATAATTAAACTAATAAGGATTACTAACTAAAAATAAAAAATATTAATGTTTTTATACTTGTAAATATATGTTGTGCCCCAAATCACAATTGTCTCAAATCACAATCAGCCCAAATTAGAATAGGAATATGACCAGAGTTAGGGTAAGGGTTAGTGTTAGTGCTGAAGGATAGGCTATATTTGGTTTAGATTTTGATTTGGGATATATCCCAATTGTCAATTGGGCAAATTGTGATTTGGGTCACAACATATATATTCTAGTGCTTTAAATATCAACAAAAAAATAAAATATTTATATCCAAATTAAATATCTTTAATTAAAAATTAAATATTCAATTCAAAAAAATATATTCTGTCTTTTCAAAGTTTATATATCGATATGTTTCACAAACTTCTATGCTGATCTTTGATTCACGAATTTAAAAACATAACATCGCTCCCCGAGATTCATTATAATGTGATGTGATTTCGTGATTATAATTATTTTCAAATGTGTGAATTTTATTTTAGAATATATATATCAATTATATAATTTAATTTTCATTAGTATGAGTTAGTTTTCGATTAAAATTGATTATATCACAATAATAAATATTATGTAAAAAACAAGTTTTAATCCAATAATTATCTGAAATATATATATTTATATATTTTTTTAGTAAATATTACTAAATTTAATCATCATATATTATAATCTTGATTATTTGTAAAATATATCAAATTTCCCACACAAACCAGATTGTAAAATTTTTTTACTTATCTTGCAGTAATTCTTTGTTTGCGATAAAAATTAATACATATAAAATGTTGATATATTCAGAACCAGCATCACCTTCAAGCATATACTCTGACGAAGAAATAATAACTCGTACCATGGGAGATATTAAGGATTATGATACTGAGAAACTTATTAATTATTTAAATAGGAATAATTTGAAACTTAAGAATTCTCATTTTGCAATTCTTCGTAAACAAGAAATAACTGGTTTGTCTTTTCTGAATATGAAGGATGAATTCTGTGAAATTTATCGAAGGGCTTAATGAAACAAATTACAGAGTTTCTCGTCATATAACACATTGGATAAATTGAAAACACTACTTCGTAAATATAAGGTCAATGGTGAAAAAATTACGTGTATAAAGCAATTTAATCCAGGTATATATATTTCTTTTTTGTAAGAGAATACTTGTACTACTGAAGGCATTGACTAATGATACATATTTTTTACTGTTTATGAAGAAATTGGTGATGATAATAAAGCTCTTAAACAATGTATGATTAAGACTTTCGAATTTGGAGACTATACAAGACAGTACCAATGAAGCAACCCGCTGTGTTTTTATTACTTCTATCTTGAATGCATCAATAGCAATTACTCGAAAACTTGTCAACAATGAAAAAATATATATTGCATACCAAGATGATGTGATGTCTCCGGTGAAGATCCCTCTGGACGTGTTGATTATTCAATCAAAGGGTGTGAAGATCTTATATGTATAACAGAGGGGAAACCACGCAATGTTGAAATTGGATATCTCCAAAATATAAAACAATTGGAGAGCGCGAGCCATATGAATAAAAGGAAACGATCCGCAAAGCAGGCATTTGAAAATGATGATGATTATCTTTACGGGATAGTTTCTACAGGTATAGTAAAGTTAATGTTACCATGGTAACTGCTTCGTTAAAAATTCTATTACCCTGGTAACTCATGTTATATATTTTTGATTATCTCTTTTCTAGCTACAGAATGGCATTTTATTAAACTCGCTACGGAAGGGCTTTATTGTATCAGTAAAAGCGAATATCGGATTAATCTATCCAAAACGGCATTGAAGGAGGATCTTGAATCAATTAGAAAAGGTGTTA